GGCAATTTTAATAGAAATGCAGTTTTTCTAATGATATTTTTTAACACATGGAATCACGCGTTTCTCCTCACCGTCAGCAACAACTGATGTCTGGAGATCCGTCTGTCATTTTAGTTTTTGTACGTTTACAAGGCAAGTGTAAAAATTCGTCAATATTGCCACTCGGTAGTGAAACTATTAATAAATTGAAATGTGTAGGTACCTAATTCTTTACAAAACTTCATTTTGAACCATTATACAAAAAAATATAATGGTAATTATATAGTTTTTTAATACTTTATAGGTCGACGTTTGACCACCATCTCGCCTGATGGTACGCGATGATGTGGCCGACGATGGAGTTTTAATAAAATTAGATTATGCCTCAACAAAAAATATAAAATTTTAATAATTCAAATTATTATCCATTTCAAAAACTAGTTTCTTATCTTGATGTCGATTTTTAATCAATTTAATAATTATTATTATGTTGTTTTGTGTAGTGTTATTTTTATGTTGTTTTAGTGTTATTATTCTTCGTTCCGAATCACACTATAATCGCACTAATAATATAAACGTGAAAGTTTATTTGTTTGGATGTTTGTCATTTAATAATTCTGAAACTACTGAACAAATTTGGATGAAATTATTGCTGGTATGGGATGACTTAGGTGATTGGATTTTATTTTAGGACATTTTATCCCGATTAAATGCTCTCATGGGATAAAACAGGAATACGCGAGTAAAAGCTAGTAATATATAAAAAATTGACTATAAACTAATAGATACAATATAACGTCCTAGTACTTACGTGGTTGTGACCATATAGCTCCGAGGTCGATGCTGGCTTCCCCCATGAGTCGAGGAGGGGCGCAACACCTGGGTTCCATCACAGCCAGCCAGATACTCGACCGCTGTATGTCTCTGATGCTCACGTACAACTCGAACATGAAGTACTGGACAAAAAATATAAATAGTTTAATGGAATGTGTAGCTTTGTATTGTGATCTCAGGAGCGTGAAATAAAGTTCGACACACGATTGACTGTTAAACTTGTATATTGGATAAAACTTTAAACTAAACTAACTAGAATAGAACATAGTTGTACAATGTTACAGACGTTCGTGACGGTCCGCTCCTACGCAAGCGTCGAGCGGTCAGTGGCGGGGAAGCGGGGTAAGTGCCATAGGGATTGTGGTGTCGCCTACTGTGTTGCGCGCGTACGTCCGACACATCCTCTCCTCTGACCTAGACATAGCGCCCTCGCGACTCGGTCAGTCTAGAAATCGCTTGGGTCTTCCGCGCCTTCTTTTTTTATAACAGGCGGGACCAGCACATTGCCTACGAAAGGGGTCAACTGAGAGACGCGGTACTCACCCGACACCCAAATTCTAGCCACTACTATTATACGACGCGATACGGACTTCGGAGACTGTTTAAGGGGCGCATCGTTGCTACCTCGAGTTTTAAGATAAACCGATCTCTGGCTCCTGAAGAATTTTCTGACGCAGGGTGATGTTTTTTTCTAGAGCTACGTTTCTGGCTAACTAGGTTTATTTTGCTTTTTGCAGACTTCACGACTGTCAAACAACGTGTTTCGCGTACATTCGCAAACGGATGCTAACTCGACTCATCATTTCTTGTATTTGATTACCTAATTAGTTGATTTTTAAGTACCTAAATAATAGCATTTATATATATAAGATTAACAGTATAACTTAATGGCGTAAGCTGTGGTGTTGTATATGTACATTTTCTAAAATAAATACATAAATAAATAAATTAAAACACCAGCTGTACTGCGGTATCTCCAACAGGATATTCGGTTTTATAATAAAATTCTTACCTAATAACATCCTCGTTTGTGCACTCGGTGTCACACGTTTACCTAATATGCCGTCGAAGTCACTCACAACCGTGATATATTTCTGCTAAAACCCGTCAGCAAGACCTACGGTACGTACGACCGTCATAAATATCAAGTCAGCATTCAGAAAGCGTACAGCATTGGGATCGCGATGATACCCTTACGATCAACGGTTGCGAATCGTTATCACTTCCACCTACAATGTAAGACGTTGGTGCAGTCGCGGTACACTTCGATGGCCTCGATAAATACAAGCTAAATTCAAGGTCATCCGCGTTCCTTGACGATCCTTTAAATCGCGCCATACACCTCGGGAACTTTCCTCAGTTTCCTGCACGCGGCGCATGCGTGTGTGCGTCGGCGATTTAGGCGCAGGACGATGATGTACGTGTTGTACCTAATCAAAGGTAATTCGTTTCCCGCCAAAATACTCTCAATAAAAATTCTGTTTGCTTCTACTTGACTCTTACTGATTTTGGAGATTTAGCCTTTAATTATATTAGATTAGAAAGGGCATTTAGCCTTTGATTATAGAATGTGTAGATGCAGAGTCAGTTCATGAAAAGCGGTTAAAAAATTTGCAGTACCTACCTAAACTGTTCACTGCAATGCACTAAGCACTTTGCCGTCAAATACCTAGTACCAACTATGTCACTAAGTGCCATGCACGCTGCAACAGCAAAAAAATATTCGTAAATAAAAAAGTACATTGCAAAACTGTTGCTGTACATAATTTAAAAATTATATTATTTTTATCATATTTTATCAGTGTTACCAATTTATTGTTCTTTGTTCAAACATTTCAATTGCTTGCGAATTAAAAATAAAATAATAATTTTATTATTTTTTAACTAAAATAAGAAGGTTCGTTTCGATTTTCGACAATTACTTTGAAATAATTCCTAAATTGGTTTTATAGAAATAATGTTTTATTGTATACTTATACATGAATATTAAATTTATTGTTTTCTTATGAAAAAGTCACAACTTACATGAAAAAATATAAATATGAATGCAGTGTTCAATAAAAAATATTTTAAAAACAAATTAAAAAAGTTTGTTACCTACCTATATTTTTTTTACTTTACTTCAAAATGGTCTCGTAGATGTACTCAAATACCTATTTATAGATATAAATTTGATGGGAGGATTTTTGTGGTAAATTTTTGCACTAAGTATCGGACGCACACATGCAAGAAATTTTGCAACGTCAGTTCATCTAAACATTAGGTGTAACATCATCAAAGACTTTCGCATATCCTCAGACATTATAACATTCAAGAAAATCCCGGTTCTGTTCATCTCGACACATGTGTCGGTGTCGGATCCCTCATGTTTTCCAGTTCTTCTCGGCGTCGGCATGATAACAGCAATTCCAACTGTTACTGATCGGTGACGATTTTGGGGTTAGTAGCTTCTAAAAGTTGGTAGGTATATGTACCGTATACATATACCTACGGATGCAGCCGGTGCGGCGGCAAGCGAAAAATGGACTCGCCCAAGTGTTTCACTTTCGTATTTACGCTGGTTTTACGAAAGTTTTCGTGTGATTGCACTATTGGAGAGAGGTCACAATACGTGTTAGCACGATAGGAACACTAGAACTTGTCGTAACTATTAGTTTTTATTCACAGTTCGTAGCTGCAAGTTGGGCGACACTTTAACGTAACCTATAAAATAATACCGTGTATTGGGTTCTCAGGGGCGTGGCATAAAATGCGACACACGATTGACCGTTCAGTTAAACTTGTACTATATTGGATAAAACTTCAAAATAAACATAGACAAAGTTGCACAATGTTACAATAAACTCAGATATTCGCGGAATAAATACGAGGCGCGTGCGGTGCGTCACGGTCACGGCACCGGCGGCGGCGGCAGCGCGGCAGCGCGGGAGTTGAGACTTGGCGTGACTACCTACCTATCCTACCTACGCAAGCGCGTCGACCGTCGAGCGGTCAGTGGCGGGGAAGAGGGGGAAGTGGAATAGGGATGTGGCGTTGCCTATAGTGTTGCGCGCGTGCATCCGACACAACCCGAAATCGATTTGCCGCTTTACAAATTACAATAATCAATTAAGTAGGTAATAGGTACCTATTATACATAATTAGTTGCCAAATAATTATGTCGGAGTAAGGAATTATATCCACAGCTGAATAAAAGTTCACGGGGCAAACTTTTAATCAGCTGGGCACTATTGCAGTTAGGACACTGAAAATTAAGATGTAGTTGCTCGTGTCTCACTACAGTCAATTTGACATCACGTTTTTTTTTATGGCATAAGCCAGTAAACGAGCTCACGGATCACCTGATGGTAAGCAATCGGCGTCGCCTATGGACACCTGGAACACCAGAGGCGTTTCAAGTGCGTTACCAGCCTGTTGGGGATTTTTTTTAAGGGGGGAAAATCATCGAATGACTGCTCCCGCCTGGGTGAGGTGGGAGGGAGTGTCAGACTCTTACTGACTAAAAACCACCCCGTTCCTTCTTCTGCACGTCGAGCCGGAGCCCCGGTTACCCGTTAGATTCTCCGCGACGGCCTTTTCGGGATTAGGAGTTTGAGGATCGTTGGGGATTTAGGGATTGGGGAGATTGGGGAAGGGGAGGGTAATTGGGAAATAAATAAACCTCACTCAAACGACGGAACACAACGCAAGCGTAGCTTCACGTCGGTTTTCTATGAGGCCGTGGTATCACTCCGGTCGAGCTGGCCCATTCGTGCCGAAGCATGGCTCTCCCACACGTCAATACAATAATCCCAAACACATAACGATTAACTAAGTAATCATAGATAGATTCGACAATCGAATCATAAGTACGATTGTCAAGCATAGGGTCAACACTTTACATTTCCAGACTTCCAGCTACTACTGAGAATTATAAAATTTTATGCCAATGATAAATCTAATATATGTTGGCTGTTTATTGCCTTGTGTTTTGCGCTTTTTTTAACTATGGAACAGCATCCAACATCCACGTCAACATATAACGGGGGAGATTTTGAAAAAAGCCTTATAAAGAGCAAATTTTTATCTTAGCTGCATTTAATAATACTGATCGCTACAGTGTGTATCCACAATAAAAAAGTATGTATGTATGAAAAGAAGAAAATTATACACATCATGCATTTTTTAATTTCATTTATAAGTAGGTACCTAAGTATTTTGTAAACGACTGCTTCAAAAATAATTCTTTCTTCAGGACCAAAACAAAATTTGAAATCGAGAGAATCACCCGGCACCAGTCTGAACGGTGACTATATTAATAACAGCGAAATATCGTCAACATGTTTTTAATTGTTCAGGAATAAAGTTTAAAATCTGATGATGCTCTGATGCAAGGTCAGGCATGTGAAAAGAAACAAAACATTTCATTTAGGGGAGAACCCTTTCACTAAGGTCTGATATTTGAGGGATTATTCCCCAAGTAGGTATTACAGAAAGGGGTATGCATTGATGCGCGGATGACCGGCGACCAGTCAGTTCATAAAGGATGAGAGATTTTAATTAAGCTGACGTTTTGAAATACAAGCCCTTTGAGTATAAAAGCCGAACAGAGCATAAAAACAATGTATAGAAACTTTCATCAGGTAATTTTAGACGACTTCACTTTAGATTAAGGTACCTACTTGGGATGTGAGTAAGTGTCTAGGACTGAAATTAACGTCTTTTAAACAGCTGAAATCAATAACCACAGAACATATAAAGAAGGCTAGAAAGGAAATAGTTCCTGATTTGTATTAGAACACGCGTCGCCGTTTGTCCCCCACTCTTTAACTTTACTACAAGCAAGAGACCAATACCTACGCGGAAAATGCACACAAATAAACAACACGCACTAGGTTAAAAGATTTGTTATTGGTCGTCACACTGACGCAATCACTTCGTTTGACATACACTAATACAGGCGTAAAAAACTCATATATGGTAGGGGGAGCGAAAGGTCGATTATTGATATCGATAAAATTAATGGCATCTAGCTTCTTAATTTACATGTATTGTGGACTATGCGGATTTGTATAAAGCATATTGTGCACATGTATTTACGTTAATGTAAATAACTATACATAGAAAAATACATAACTGATTTTTAAAATCAATTACATTATTAATTATTAATTATATAAAAAAAAAGCGTAATTTCTCCCTAAGGAATGAAAAATCATAAAATAATGAAATATTGAGAATTATCATAACGTAACCATATCATGATATATCTAATCTGTGCTCAAAACTCTGTTATTGTCTCTGTTAGATATCATCATGACATTCGTATGATGACAACCGATAATCGTCGTTCGTATTTCTTTAATAGTTAATATAAATAGGAATTATTATATAGTTTCGGTTACATAATTTCCTTTACTGAATGTGAGTGGTGTGCAAATTAACTTAGAAAGTACGTATAAGTTGTATGAAACAGCGCCGCAACCTCCAGGCCAACACAATATTTAGCTCACGTAAATTAAGTCAGCTCTAAAAGCTCTGAAAACTAGAAAAGTCATCAAGTGTACATAGCTATTCTTAAAAAAGGTACAATACAATCGCTCCCAGGATATAATGTCATCTTATTTGTTGTCATAGCTTTGTTCTCGAATAGAAAACCTCAACAACTATTTTAAATTATTGACTAAAATTTCGGCTGGCTTTTAAGAATTTCTCATAGTTTCAACTATTTACAATTTGGGCCTAAGCATGTATGAAAGAGTATCCATCTTACGAAAAATGATTTAGATGTCCCTTAGATGATATCAAGGTAGAAATGTAAAACAAAATTTCCTAAATCATAAAATCAGTCTACTTACTGAACAAAACATAACGAATACATAAAAAATTATATAAAACTGAAATACGAATAAAATGCCTCACTTAAAACCTATTTCATAATTAGTCGTAATAAATAAAATTATTTTAGTTATAATGTGTATAATTTGATAATAATCCTTTGTATCATAGTAATTATCGACATTGTTTACAAATTGACACTTCTCTATATCGATTCGAGGAAATGACGTTTTGATTTGATACTCGGGACTCTCGTTGTGAACGTAATACATTGCGCGATCGTTTATGTAGTGCAAAACGGTACGTATCTATTGCAAGCAATGTATACTGCTTGCGATAATGTCGTTTTTGTCTAGAAACGTCATAATATTAATGTTATAATTACAAATATCACAAGTATATTAATGTTTTTGAAGTCACTGGTGGAAAGAAATCCCTTCTCGTGCTACATTGCACACCTGTCTTCTTTTCCGACACATTACAATAGTCCAAGACGGCATAATTTAATATTATTTGCGGAGTTTCGTACGCTGTCACAACAACATTGCGTTTGATGGCCGGTTTTTGACATTTTGGTAGATTTGGAGCATTTGCTCATAACCGCGGCACGCGTGTACCGCCCACAAGGCCGTTCTATCCTCCTTTATATGTTCTGTGTCAATAACCGACCTCAATCTAAAAGCACTGCTTGTGTGGAGTTATTGGCAAATAGCTCTGAATAGATACATTTTGGATTTTTATCGATTATTGATTTTGACGACACATAAACTGTCAAACACCGCGAGGACACCGGTGACCGCAACCTATTGTTCTTATAATGACAGTACTCAAATGGTTAAATAGTGTGTACAAGTAGAAGTAATGGAATTTGAAATGATACCCGTATCAGTTGGTGATGAATGTAATCAACAGAAAGGAATGCTACGAGAATACACAATTTAGGTTATGGAAATTATAGTAACATAAACTACTAACTGGTAAAAGTAGGTACCCTGATGATGATCCTACTTTTACTACTTTATGTCAAGATCCATTAGTAATACGGTATGAATAAGCTAAGCCACGGGCAATGCGCTGTGGTTCCTGTGGCAGAAACAAGAAGAATAAAAAGTTTTGTAGGGCAGTAATTGTGCCCCTCCTACACGAGGCTTAAATCTAGGTCCATAATACAGCGTAAGTGTGAGCATACCTAATAAAAGTGTGATGATAATTGGATAACCATTCCGTCAAGAGCTAGTAACGGAGTCTGTCTGTCTGTTTGTCTATTTGTACTGGCTAATCTCTAGAATGACTGGACCGTTTTTGTAAGACTTTTATTGGCAGGTAGCTGAAGTACTAAGCAGTAACATGGCTTGCTTTCATTTTGTACCTAATATTAAAAATAATCTTATGTCCTAAAATTCATATTCCAAGCGGACAAAATCGCGGGCAACAGCTAGTTTAGATTTAAGTAGCAAGAATTGAAAGATTATGAGCAGATAAAACCAAAAATATCAAAAACCAAACCTACCCCTTGAGCCGACCACTAACGCCATCTGTTTTGAGAAGAACAAATTATTATCACACAAAGTATAAAGCGAATTCTGTTAACATGAAATAATATGAACCAAATACCTAATTGCGAATCGTTATCCTAATTATTTACGATTAAATTAACAATTTTAAAACAATAGTATAAAGAAATCTTGTAGCGTTCGTTAACAGCGACATCTGTCTTGAACTTCTGAACAAAGAAAACGTGATCTCGATTTAGCTTTCAGTTTAAAGGGTCTTCATATTAATTAGCGACATTCTCAATAGATGGCGCGACATAGATTTTGCATTTATTTATTACACAAACATATGTGTAGGTACATATATAAACGTCAATTAGAGAAACTCCTTTGTTTTTGAAGGTGGTTAGGAAGTAAGGAAATCTTAAATTATTAAATTGTAATCATCAACGCGATTGACACCAGACTGATGTTGTCAAATAATTAAAAATGTAGGTACTGTTAGAAGTTTGAGTGTATAAATATTGTGTGTTTATAATGTTTTGTTAATAATTAATCCAAACACATTTGAAAAAACATTAGGTTTTACACCTTTTAAGAAAGACTAATTAAGAATTAGAAATATTTTATTTCTAACATCTTTTTTCTCAATTGTAATGTAAAATGTATAATAGCGACATCTATCGTAGAACGCTAAAAACTGATGAATTCAATAAGGCACGTTGCGGTGGTGCGTCCCGTGTCCCTGCAGAAGCGTTTATAATTTAATACAAGAAAACAACCATAGATGGCGCTACGAGTTACAAAGTTATATCCAAGCTAAAGTTCGCTCTGTCTAGTCTAGACAATTTGTTGCACGAGTAAAATATTGAATGTATAGCGGAGTTTAACGCCTCGTTGATCGCGTGGCTGCGAACACGACATCCGAATAAGGGGCTTTGGGTTCAATTCCGGCGACTTTTAATAGTTTTCATTAGCCGGCCTGTTGCCATAAATGAGACAAAATTGTTATCTTAACGTTCCGAGCCGAAAATGAAGCGTTTTTCATTTTGAGGGAGGAACATCAACCTATGACTTCTCCCGTCCATGGGTGAAGCGAAAGAGTACCTATTAGACTTTTACCTCGAGTGGTCCTACTTTAAACCAGAGTCCAGGTAACAGGTTTAATTTAATTTTCGTCTCTTGATTAGTCTATAATATGCAATTCCACAACAGAATAATGAATGTAAAGTAAATAGTCAGTTTACATAGGTAATCATTTGACCAGTAATCATGTCTGCACTTATCCGTGGCCAGACACCGCGACGATACATCGGCTCATTACCTCTGTCTACCCCGCAGAGTAAACAAACGTAATGGGCAATAATATAATTTTGTACACATTTTATTATAAGGAACTTATAATAATTTTGACGGTGACATGAGTGTAATGAAGCCATTATCTAAGTTGGGTTGAGCAATTCTAGATACGACTATAAATTAACAATTAAGTAACTGTTCTTTTTTAGTTTTCAGGTAGGTACTATCAACTTATAATCGTCATCGCCACAGAAATATTAATTATTAAGTATATCTATGATCATTACACAATTTTCGTTCCTATAAAAATAATCCGAAAAAGAGCTTATCGCAAGATTTAAGTGCTCGAATTTCTTAGTTTCATAATGTTCAAAATATAACTAAATGATGTGTTGTAGGTACTATTTTGTATTAAGGCAATTTTTACAATTACGAAGTTTTCAATTCAAATCAATTCGATACTTTTTATGTAAACCTGACAACAAACATACATAAACCCTTTCGCTACCTCACCTACCTTTAACTTTAATACGAATAAAAGTAGGTATATTATTTCAAAGTTGTACCTATTTAAAGTTAACTTCGTAAACATAAAGCAATAAAATAAGAGCTTCACCGTAGATGCACCTTCAGATTTGAAACTATTCGAAGCACTGCAATTTATACCTTACCTCTCTGTAATACGGTTCTTCCATATTGCGCCTGATGGTCGTCCTGTGCTTTTTCTTTCCAAGGACGACGATGACGTAAGAATTTGCAGAATTTGGATTCAGCCATGTTAGTTTGCGGGCTTCCAAAACATTCACTGATATCTGTCAGAATAAATAATTATATTTTCGGTTGAGTACAAAAACTAAATATGTAAAACGTAAACTCCTCATTTCAGATTTCGCCTTCCTATGTAGGTACGGTACATAAATCTTGAATACAAGAAATGTTCAAGTTTATATTGAAGAATTTAACTCTGATTCGCCATCCCTTTAGGTATCTTTAAAAACGTTCTTTTAAAAAGACAGCTGCTCCCATAATCGGAAAAGTTGTCGCTTCATAAAAAGCCGCAGCGGCAAAAGCGCTGAAGTTAAAATTGTCAGCGAGTTCACCGACCGACATATGAAAAGCCAGCATTGTCTTGAACAAAAACGTAACAACTACCAATAAAGGGCTACATGTGGGGACACCAGGCTTTGCAGACACGGTGAGACCATTCCATATGATATTAAAAAATTGTTTGGAAATAAAACATTTCTGCCTGGTCTGAAGATTTTAATTTCAAGGAGATGGCGTAGGAATACTTTTTTGCGTATTCCGTCTTTTTGGTCTTCATTTTAAGTGCATATTGCAAGTTCTATTTAAGGCTGGATAATTGTTTCAATGCGATCACCTCCTACATAAAAGTTCAATTTAAAAAAAAGTGTTTCAAAATAGTCTTTTCATCTGATCGTTCAGCTGTTTGGACTTGAGAATTACAGAATGGCATTGTCTTCTACGGGAACGGAGCTTACGAGAAAAATTTGAGCAGTTAGAAAATTATCATAGTATACAAAATAACTGCCTTCTGTCAATCCTTGCCGACTTGAAGACACCATCTTTACTTACTAAACTTTTTGCAAGATACTTTTGCTGATCTCGATTGTGAGGTGTCTGAGACCCGCAATTTCTCGCAGAACCATGGACGCAATGGTCTTTCGATAAATAATTTATAAAGTGGTATGTACCTGAAAATATTGCGGTGTGGTTTCCGGGTTCCTTTCGGCCTCAACCCTATAAGTTTGTTGCACCGAGGTTTTTTGCCGACCTCTTTTCTCCGGAGACTTCGTCCGCATATTGTGTAATGATTTGGCGTCCGTTTTGTATCGATTCAATTAAAATGACACGTGCTATGATATGACAGTCGATGTCTCTGTGGTTGTGAAGCTCTTTTCTTTCTTTACTGTTGATAGATTTTTTTTGATGGTTTATGTGTGAAGTGTAAGGAGGTTTAGTTTTAGTGTATTCGAACTTTTCAATCTTCTCGTAAAAAATAACGTTATTATAGCTCATCATAAAAAACTTAAAATTAAAACTATTACTTAAATAAAATTAAAACTAAATAAAACTTAAGATTAAAATTAATTATAGGAAAATCAAAAACAACTATTTACATAAAGCATCGAAAAATTCGTCCGCATCGACGTCAGTGGGGAAAGTACCCAGAAGGCTGACAGCATTGCCACGTTGTATGGCAATGCTTAACCTCTGAACCTGCTCATCATTATCTTTTAAGAAGTAGTTTGTTTAGACCGATTTGTTACTAATGTCTATATCGTAAATCAAGACAGTAGGTACTTAATAACTACATCATACTTTGTTATTTCTGAAGGTTTTAAGCAGAGGTGAGCCATAATTATTAATCTAGATACTGTATAGACTTCGACATTATTAATAGATTATGTAAAACAGTATCCAAACACCAAATCCCAAATGTTAGGACAATAAACAATACTAAAAGATGCCGCCAAGTTTTTCAAAAGGTGATCACATAAAATACCCATATGAGCATCCTCGGTCGAAATCTATTGATTTACAGTATCATTAGTCTTTTGTGGCGAACTTCGAGGCTCGAATCTGGAAGTTGTTAAAATATTTTCTAGACCACCACACGCCGCAAATACATACTTTATGTTATACTAGCTTCTGCCAGCGGCTTTGCCCTCGTTCATCATCATCATCATCATCAGCCTGTATTCGTCCACTGCTGGACATAGGCCTCTCCAATGGCACGCCACTGAGCTCGGTCTTCAGCTCTTCTCATCCAACCTTCCAACCACTGCCAGCCACCTTACAGATGTCGTCACTCCACCTAGCTGGAGGGCGTCCTACAGTGCATTTGCCTCGTTTGCCTAGACGCGGTCTCCACTCTAGAACACGTTTACCCCAACGGTTATCGGTTCTTCGACAAATGTGACCGGCCCACTGCCACTTCAGCTTACTGATCCTTTGTGCTATGTCGATAACTTTGGTTCTCTGTCATATCACTTCGTTTCGGATTCGATCCTTCAAAGAGACTCCGAGCATACGCGACCTTAAATTGGTGGACCAGTCGCACTGACAGCGTCTCGGCTCCGTATCACTCGTTGATAGGATGGTATAAGTAGCCTACACATCACTTAGTCAGTCCCTTTAGCCGTTTTGATGAGACTGAGTAACAAATATACACACAAACTTACATATTTTCACATTTATAATATCGTTTTAAGCTAATTTCAACCATCGGCCCTACATTTACAGCGTAAATTCCAATGTGGGCAACGTAACAATCGACAAACTTATATTTGCGTTTAGTACAGTAACTGTGTCTAAGAATTGAGCCGCACGATTAAGTTTGTTTTTTTGTGTGTATACTTTTTCGGTATAAAAACTAGAAATACCCAGTGTTACGCCCAGGATATTAAAGTAATATCCACCAAAATATCAAGTTTTATCGTAATCGGACCGGTAGTTTTTGCGTGGTGCGTGAACATACAGAAAAACAGACAAACATAATTTTCATCACATTTTTTGGGTTCGGTGTCCATCTAGTAACACCCCCACTATTTATTTTTTTAATATTTTCAATGACTGCGTCGTTGGCTGAGTGGTCGCAAATGCGGGGAAAGGGGTCTCGGGTTCGATTCCCGGGTCGGGCAAAGTATTATTGGGTTTTTTTAAAAAAATCTCAATAGTATGAACTAGAATTGTGCCCGGTAAATGGCAATGGGCTCACCCCCTATTACGTGGGACTCACAACATCAATAGTGAAAAGTGGGTTAGTGGTTACATTGTTACAATGTACACCTCTGCCTACCCCTTCGGGGATAAAAGGCGTGTATGTATGTATTTTTTCAATGTATGTACAGAATTCACACAGCTAACAGTTTTATTATAATATGTACCTCTATACTGTATAGATTTGTTAAGTAAACTATCTTGCATTGATATTACGAATACTTATATGGATTTCTTTAAAATATAATTTTTAGTTACTTGTATTCATCTCTATTGCCTGTTAAACTTGTAAGGCAACGGCTTTGAGTACACATTTTTCAAAGGCCTTTTTATAAAGCCTGCAACGCAACTGTCAGTCCTCTGGTGTTCCGGTGATGATCGGCGATGATCGCTTACCATCAGGTGATCCGTATGCTCGTGGGCCTCCTATTCGATGAAAAAGGACAGAAGTATAAAAATTTAATTCTAAAATTACCGAAAATATGTATGTATGTATGTATGTATGTATGTATGTATGTATATATGTATGAATGCATGTATGTATATTGTGTTTGTGTTGTACTCGTGTGTAGGTATATATATTATAATTATGTTTATTTATGTCTATCTCTGAAATATGTAAGTGTATCTATTTTATTTGCTCTATTAAATAATTGCTTGCTTCTTGCTCACACCATTAACTCTTCTCTGCATCACCAAAAGGTCAGACTGGGAGAAAATGCCTGCTGCATTAAGTCCACCTTGTGTACATTTTGTGCATGAAGCTTAAATAAATAAAAAAATGTATAAAAAAATACATAGTTCGATTCTCTAGCTGTAGTACTAGACAAAAGATTTGATTTTAATTTTATCAAGATATACTTAGTACCTGATAGGTCGCTGGATGTAAATTGCTTCCAACCGGCCTCTCTGGAAATTATCAGGGGAGGGAATGATGTTAAGATAATGATATTGGTGGTGATCAGTGAGCTACGCGATGTCGCCGCTGCCGCGCACGCTGCTCATGAGGAAGAACCCCTCTGTGGTTCGCAACTAGTAGAGCTTTTCTCAGTATATTCACGTGAGTAACCCGCGATTTTAATTAATTTAATATGTCTCACGATAGTTGATTTACATAAACTTCAAATTCATACTACGATTTTCTTTTACGAACAACATCATCATCATTAGGTTTTTTTTTAAGGTGGAAAATCATCTAATGACTGCTCCCGCCTGGGTGAGGCGGGAGGGAGTGTCAGACTCTTACTGACTAAAAACCACCCCGTTCCTACTCCTGCACGTTGAGCCGGAGCCCCGGTAACCCGTTAGGTTCTCCGCGACATCTTCATTAGGTATAGGTATAAGAATCGTAGCAATTGGCGTTTTTATAGTGCCATAATCTCCACACTTGGCGAGGGCTTGGAGATGACAGTTTAAACTATCAAACACCGCGCGGTCACCGGTGACCGCAACCTATTGTTATTTAATTGTGTCTATAATGACGGTACTCAACGAGTTAAGCAGTTGATATTTAGTTCTTTGTCAAATATGTAGTGCCTTCCACCAGGGGCCTATTTGGAATATTTATTTTTTTAAACGTTGCCGTTAATGGGTGCATTTTGCCGTACCCCATCGGAGACAGGCGATTTATGTTTCAGTCACCGACAGAGCGTGCAAATGGAAACTGTAGTCATTGAAGTAAGTTTATTATAATTAAAATTACATGATAACTCCTAAAATCTAACTAACCTAAGAGCGAATGCGTTCGATGTTAGAACAACACTGCTTTCTTATCTTAAAATTAAGTATTTATTATAAAATTAGTATAAAGGTCTTATTGAGGTAAAATCTAGCGGGGTGAACGATGACGACATGAAGCGATTCGTAGCTGGGCACAAGGCGGCGACAAGAGGAGACGACTCACCAGTTCGAATGTTGCAATACTCCGTAGAACCTTCGTTGCATCAAAGTAGGTATAATGTCCTGATTCAGCAGATCTAAGCGTTGATCACGGTGTAGGTACATGTTTCGGCACCGATACCTAACAGGCGTGTATGTATGTATGTGTGGTTATATAAATATGTTTGTATGAACATCGTCAGCGCGTTCCGTCCAATGCTGCGAGCATTGACATCTCCAATACGCCAATGAGCTTGTTCTTCAGCTCTTAGAATCCAGCCACTTGCTGACGTTGTATCTTTCTTTTGTCCAATTATTTTATTCGAAGAAATTTTTATTTTAATATTATTAACAGTACTCAGACTATTTGATGCATATTTTAATAAATAACCTTGTTATTTTATACAAGAGCAAAATTAATTAGGTAGACAAGAGTAGTGTTCTAAAAAAGGTGTCGACCTTTTTGTTATTTGTTAGGGTTAAGCAGCCAGTCATTGAAACTATGAGGGCGTCTACGTGTCTACGTACTTATAGTAGATAGGTACCTACAAAAATAGTCACTGCAATTAATTTTAAGTTACTTGAGAGTACTATTTGTAGAATTTGAAATTACAATTTATTTAAGATTGTTTTTGAGTATAGGTTTTAAGTATTTTGTTGAGAGAATAATAAACCATAACTGCCTTGTTGGCCGAGTGGTCGCAAGTGCAAGGTGTTTCGGGTTCGATCCTCGGGTCGGGCAAAGTATTAAGTACCGTGTTTTTTTTAAGAAAATCTCAATAGTAGCACGGAGTCTGGAATTATGCCCGGTATATGGCAATAGGCTCACGATTACATGGGACTCATAACATAAATAGTGAAAAGTGGATGTGTACATTGTACTTACAGTGGCACTAAGTGACGTAAATGTGCACCCTTCGAGGATAAAAGGAGTTATGTTATGTCATAATAAACCAAATTTTTATAATGCATAATATGCTGTGAAGAAAATGATATATTTTTGATTACGATCACAACAGTTCCTCAATTTGTTGTTAGAGTCGAAGGCATTACCGTCTCGTGTGGAGATTATATCAAATTGAGATATTACTTAGCTATGTGATATGATATCTATCTATAAAAATGGAAATTCGTAAGGAGTAAGGTTAGATGGCAGCTTGTATATTATCGTAGAGTTAAGGATAACTTGGGATAAGCAAATAAAATAAAAAATAATGTGATGTCAATATATTAAATCATTTTCGTGTATAAATATGTTTTTCTAAGACTAATCTACTCTCTAATTTTAATACTTATGTTCGAAAACTACTTACAATATTGAATGATGGAAATAATAATTTTAGGTAATATAATATGTGTAGATTACAACATATACATGTACTTAAGTACTATCTTGTATACCAAACAAAAATAAACTCAATAAAAATTCTCACAAAGTCGACATTGCATTACAATAAAAAATTATTTAAACTAAAATACAAATTTAAATAAACGATATAACGCAATAAAATATACAAAAATAAATTCGGGTAATTCTAAAATCAACCTAACTACTTAAATAACAGAAGACTATTTTGATAAATCTTCGATGAGTAAGTTGTCCAGGAAAGTTAGCTACAGCGAGAGTGTAGGCTGCTCAGTACAATCACCGCATTTAAATATGACCCACCGTAAACTTATAAATATTTTGTGAGGATTTCTTTGTTATTATGATTGTTGTATACGAGTTATCGTCAAATGGGCTATGACTCAAGTTTGACGATAGTACACTTTCAATCAATTTACTCCTTTCGTCTGTCGGTGCAGCGAATTTTCCGTGGTCAAACTATATAAACTACCAGTACTTTATTTAGTAACACATTAACACATTGTGAAAAACATTTCTCCCAAAAGTGCAATTGTCGAAAAACAGCAAAATGGAAATCCTGAAATCTATTACTGTGTGTAGGATTTTAATCCTTAGTCCTATGGCATAGTTATCAAACTTCACTGCATTAATATTAAAAACTGTGACATACATTAGTTCTATTCTAAAAATAAATTAAAAGGAACATTGTATGAGACTCGGCTCTACACTAATTTTCATTGTAAGGGTGCGGTCGCTTTTACAGGGATAGATATTAAGAAGTTCAGTAAAACATGTGCTGACATCTAGGATTATCTAATATTCAGTGTTAAATATCATAATGTAAGGACTAATTTTCTTTTCCTATCTGAAAAAATATCAATCTTACTTATTATACATCAAATTGCTGCACAAAGTATTTGCGAATAACAAACTGGAAACTCGATGAAAATCGCCAGCTTATACTGTGACCACACCCTAATATGCGTTTTGAATTCTTAAAAAAAAACTATTTTTAAATTTAGAAATTCACCGCTAAAATGGTGGCCAGATACATTATACCAATTTCTTAGGATATTTAACAATTTTGGCAGTGGGCCGGTCCAACCGGGTTTTACCTGGCACCTAAAGTTACACATCTAAATACATAAATATTATGATACTATTTACATAAATCTTATGGTCTAAAAATCTGGAATATATTCTACATAAGATGAGACAGTTAAATTGTGTGTCTTTTTACGTTCTATAATCAAATTTCAAGCGAAAATATGGACATATTATGAATCAATGTAAATTCAAGGATGATTGGTTGTAGTTGAATCTATTACATATACATATGGACAATTTCATGATAACATATCTAAAACATTTTACAAAAATCTGTATATCTAATTTAGATTTAGATTATACAGAATTTCATTTCATTTAATTTCATGTTGTGAAAAAAATAAATGCTCATTATTACTATGTAACAGCTTCGACTCAAGGGTTTTACAACTGTCATAATTAAACTTTATTAATATTACACAAGTTACTGTAGACTTCTAAATTTGAGTTTATACTTTACAGCTCAACATTTCAAAATGGCTACGTAATTATATTATGTATGGGTAGCCTACGTGTTATAATTGTATAAAAATGTATTGTACCTACATTTACTTATAATAATGATATTCTTGTATGTAGGTACTAGTCACGTACCATGAGTACGCTCGTACCTTAAAGTCGGTACATATTTAATGGAAAATGCGAAGCGAATTATCGACATAACACTAATATGATACCAATAATTGGTAGGTAGAGCAGATTATTATGTATTATAAAATATTCAACCTTTCACACTTAGCCGGTGATGCGATATATGCGTCGAGTGTACAGCACGTCGCTAGTTGGCATTATAATAGCAACGCTCCGCGCATTTTCCGCCGGTATAAACCGACCCTTAGGGAAAATTGCTCACATTTCGATAGTACCTAGAATCGACGCATTCACTGTATAAAGATCATATCATAATAAATCTCTTCGATTTATAAGTACCGTTTCTAATAAATACCAAAGTCGATAGTATGAATAGAGAAAATCAAGTACTGAATGAGCAGATAATATTTTAAGAAAACACTTTCAAATTCGTTCATTTCAAAATTAATGAAATTGTGCCGATGAGATAGACGATGCAATTTATAATTTTTTCTTTTAAAATCTTAAACAAATAAATGTTCTGTAGAGGTCTTTAATACAATATTTTAATTCAATTCGATATATTACAAGAGCGCTGCGGTCTCCTGCCCGCTTTTCCAATACGTGACAAAACATACACATAATGTAGTAAGTATGTGTATATGTATACATCTCCTTTGTGCCTCCGTACGAGATTTCGATAGTCTTTTAGCTTAACATCGATTATATTATTGTGCTAGAAAGAGATAGAGGCATTTTCGAAGGTTTCTCTTTTTAGCATAGCGTCTTTCAAAGAGATTTTGAAATCGTTCTTGAATCATTTAGGCTTACAGTAATGAGGTCGTAAGTGCTGCTATTAAGCAAATAGCTTTGGGTTTAGTCACGTGAGGTAATGTACCCATGTCTAGAATTAGCTCTGACTATTAATTAGCTAGACAAAAGGTTCTAGTTAAAAATAGGCAGAGTGCGATAACAGTTTCTACCTTTTGGATACGTCATAAATATGATCCTAGTAATTCCCAATATCACAAATAATTACGATTTATACGTTTTGCTCAAAAAATATTCGTTGTCACTACGGTACCTACATCAATGACGAATGCTCAAAATATCAAAACTCCTACCAGTATAATACATCGATATACCTACATACATTAAATACTGTTAAATCTATGTAGAACTGCATATGCAGCCACCTAATAACGAAGTGCTGTAAGGGTGTTACCGGAGATGACGATGAGGTCAGGTATCAAGTTTTATGATAACAGCATTCCACAATGTTCTAATCCCATATAAATAATGAGGCGTAGGGGATAGAAGAGTAAAATTTTAAAGAAATATGAGCCCTATATTTTTTTGGCATCCCCCCGTACTATAAAGATTTTAGTTTCTTTCAACGCGTTGTTTTTTATGGTATAAGCCGGTAAACGAGCTGGCACATCACTTGATGGTAAGCAATCAGCGCCGCCCATGGACACTCAAAACACCAGAGGCGTAACAAGTGTATTACCAGCCTTTTGGGGATTAGAAATTAGAGGATTGTTGGGGATTCAGGGATTGAGGAGATTGGGAAGGGGGTGATCGGGCCTCCGGTAGCCTCAATCAAACGACAAAACTCAACGTAAGCGTTGTCTATGAACTTCTTTAAACAAGTTCTAATATTTACAATATTATAGGACTATCATGATGAGAATGACTATGAGTGAATACAACTCGCCTAACTCAAGTTAAGTAATATTAATGTTACTACAAAATATTTATTAGGAACTATGATTAAAGACTAAAGTATTTAAGTTCTAAATAATGTTGAGGTTATACACACTCCTATAAAAATAATTTTATAGAGATAGATAGGAAAATACTTAATGCGTTGACTTGATATTGTAGTTGAAGAGTCAATTAAATAGAGATCTAATTTTATAAACTAGATAGTTCACAAAATCTATTCATCCTTTATTTACTACAAAATGTGCTGTACAAGTACAGTCTAGTTTAATTTTCAGACACTAGTCTTCAATAAACTTGAAGAGATGAGACCTAAAGTCTTGATCTAAACCTTTCCTGGTTTAAGTTTTGTGATGAATTTGTAATCGTCTAATCGTCTGTCTAATTGAATATTAGGGACTAAAGGCGATTACACAATATATCCTTCATGATATAAGTCCGAATCAACACTATAAGTTATCATACAGTTTTAATTTTGTTGTCACATGTGTGCCTGTCTTTAAACAATACGAAGACGGCAATCAGAATAAAAAAAATTAAAGATCCTTTTCGTCGTTTTATACATCTTATGTTATTTTTAAATACCTTCCACACCCTACACATTTTATCTATTGCATCAATTCCCATTCCAACACTTAATTTTACTTTCTTTATACACGATTATACCTCGTTCTGTCCACCCACCGCTTGAAGGTATTCATTCTGGATTTGTCAATATAGCTCGTTGAAAGTCATTGGGTGAGGATGTGGTGTGTGGACCCTCATGTCTTCCATTGGTGGCATTGGTTCTGATATCAGCATGGTACTGGGTCCAGGGTTTGGTTGGGAGACTGCTCCTTGGATGATGGACCCGTTGGAGTGGCCTGGACCACCGTTAGTTGATTCCTGACGCATCATGTTACGACGCCATTTTGCTCGGGCGTTTTGGAACCAGACCTAGCAAAAGAAAGGGATTTAAGTTTATTGTCATTAAGATTATATTGTACGATATTTTTCCTATTCCTGTTAGATCGGGAATGTTGTGAAATTGAATAAATATAAACAGATATAACGTCTTCTGTTTGTTATGCTTTTTAAGGACCATCAATGTATGTTTGCAAATGTAAATGTAGACACGACAAATGATAGGCATTTACCTAATATACAGCAAACGTGTCTAAGCTGTGATATATAAGCACTGTTTTGTAGAATATTGTTTAAGAGACAATTTTGGAATATGGATTACCTATATTCAGTTTTCCTATAAAGTCGTATATTTCCTAGACAGTTTTGTTTACTTACTTGCAGAACACGTTTGGAGAGGCCAGTCTTCTGAGCGAGTTGCTTCAAATCCTTAGCATCAGGGTTTTGGTTGATTGCGAAGTAGGACTTCATGGTCCTTAACTGGTGGTGCTTGAAGCTGGTACGCATCCGTTTGGTACGCTGTGTGTGACTGGATACGCTACCAGGCGAAGCAACTGATGAGTCGTAGGCCAATGACTCCATTGAAGACGAGAGATCACCGCGGTGGAGTATCTCTGTAACAATTGAAATTAATTTTATGAAGTCTTTTTCTCAATAGTATTAGGGAGTCCAGATAAACTGGCTTTAGATAATTTCGACTGCACGGTTTGGTGACTGCACCAGACAGTTGCCCAGCCACTGGCAACTGGCTGCCGTGCAACGTGTCGCGGGTTTGATTCTCACAAGGAACATCTCTTTATGTGATCCACAGATTGTTGTTCCGTGTTTGGGTGTCATGTGTATATGGACTTGTTTGTTTGTAAACGCACCCACAACACAGGAGAAGATACTAGTGTGGGGCAAAGCTTTAAAAAAAAAATTATGTCGCCAACATCTTCCAACAAAAGTAAACGTCACCTATTATTTTTGTACTTCGTGTAATATTATCACGAGTGTAATGGTTGCAAAAAGAAAAAAGAATTTATCTTATTCATGACTGTCCCTTGATACTATCACGTAAGTCCGCTAATTTAAAATAAGCAAGTTAAATGCATCTTCGTGTTTCATTCTAAGCAATCTTCCACCCACCACACACCGAATACTTAATCGGGCTACCGGATAACATTATCAATTTATCTATTCAAAAGGCAACACCTCCAATTTTACAGTGCACCATCTCGAACCCACATCCTTGAGTTTTTAGTACAAACGAGAGGAAACTAAGATAGTTGGCGACTGCGGTCACAATCGGCAGACCACGACATGCCTGCTAATAGAGGAAGTACAGTTCCGGGGTCTGGGAAACCAAGCATAGACGGATTAGGAATAAATCACGATCATTTTTAAAATCGCTGGACAGTTAGATAAAATCTTCTATTGCCTAGTACGAGAAATAGGCAAATATCACTTACTTATTAGTTATTTTTCTGTCGGAATGTAACGTCAATACTCTTTTATTATATTCATCATTCGTATTAACAAAATTATTGTTGACGACACGATGCTGTTATAAGTTGTAGGTAATTCTTTGTTATTTTAAACGAAAATAAACAAATAAATGTTTCAACCTCTATCTACGCAAAGTGTGAACAAAACTCAACAACATTCCAGCACGAGGTACAAAAACTATTAAATAGTTGTTACGCATACAATTCAAACCGAAAGTCCACAGACTATATCACTACAAATATAACGTACAACCTGTCAAGTTTTACCTAATTTCACATTTCTAAGGACCCCCTATTAATTGATAAGCATAGCCATCGTTAATACTCATTAGTAGAGAACGGAAATGGAAAGCCAGCCGGCAGAGGCACCCAGTGACTTGTGCGTCAAAACAAATAACGGAGAATGATGTATGTCCCGATAATTGGACGCAGTTTGATCTAATAGATAGTGCGGAATAAGTAGGGGGCTCATGCGTTTGTGGAGGCGTGGATTCGTCTTTTGTGATGGACGTGGATTTTTATATCGTCGATGATAGAAAAGTGTATAATTATCAGGTCAATGAAAATGTACCTACAATTAAAGTAAAAAACTTTTTGTTTGCTGTGCTTCCTCAGCAACCTTTTAGTCAATTAATTAATTCGAAATTCCCATTACGCGTATGCAAATGGAGAAAAGTATTAACGAGAGATTATGGTATTTCCTTAATGTGATATTAATTCAAAATAATAGTAATTGTATTAAATTGTGGAAATTTTAATATGGAAGAATTTATTCGTAATGATTATGTGTGAATGATAAGTACATACTGCTTTAGAAACGGACAAATAAAATTGTCCCAAATTAAGTGGCGTTGTCCCGAATTAGGAGCTTCACGCATACTGCCCCTAATAATAATGGGTCTTAGTAATAAAAGTCAGTGGTTTTTATTAATATCTCGCTACAACACTTGGGTGGTTGGCTGCGTTATATGTAACGAAATCGCCGATGCGCAACTAGCTAATTATTAAATTTATAATTAAATATATTAGACGGGTTTGTGTGATTCCAGTTTGGGGTCCGACAGTTGCGTCCATTTTTACGATGCCGTTTTTAAGTTTATGATAGTCGGAACAAAAAACAATTAGGCTGTAAAAAGAGTATTATCGCCTTGTGGCCTTGGTTGGGCCGGCTTAATTGATGTGCATAGCACTTGACGCGATGTGTCGAAATATTTCATTACATCTTACTTTATAGATGTAAGTACCTCTGTAGGTAGTTGATATAAGAACTGACACGTTTACTTCTGTATGTATTATCAACATCGTTTTTTAACAGAACCAAATGAATGTGACGTCAAGTGATGCATTGGGCATAGACGACGACGACATTTATAACAAAACTTGTAAAGATTTGAAATCAAACTACGACTAGTTCAGGCACTAATTACAACTTCTTCAATTAATTTTTAGACTAATGTAGACTCGTTAATTTCAGGGACTTGTAATACAATATTTAACAACTTAAATACGAATTCAAAATCCACTACATAAGTATGAAGGTTTGTAGACTAAGTATTAAAGCCAGAGTCAACCTAATGAGCCCACAAATGATGGAATGAAATACAAAGAGACGCAAAAACAATAGCATTCTAAAATACGAACATCAACATTATATAAAGTTTATTTTTATCATAATCGGGTTAGCTACCGATAACGAACTAGCTAGTGGCCTGCCATAGCTTCAAAATAATACATATTTACCTATTATATGTATATTGTCTTAACTTCTGCCCGCAGCTTCGCTCGCGCTATTTTAAGGGGTTGGAGGCAGATTTAAAAATAATAAGATGTACCTACGATTTGTTTATTATTCACAAATGATTTGGTACTAATGCTTAGCTTCCTACCTTGCAAATTGCGAAATATTCCATAATAACTTCCACCCTCATTTTAGAGAAGTGATGGTAAGAAAAAGAAATGAACGAGGCCTATTCCACTCTCCATTCCATAAACTATCTCCACTAAAAAATTAAGTCAATTTGTCGCTCCATTTTTCCGTGAAAGACGGACAAATAAACAGACAAACACAGTTTCACATTTACAATTTTAGTACGGTATGGATTATATTATATTCCTCGCCAACGAGAATGCGGCTCGTTTAATGAGGGATGTAACTTAAAACAGCCCCTATTAAACCATTACAACAATTTTGTCGAACAATTTGTAGTCCTGATCGAGTTCGATTTCCTATATAATATTAATAATATTGATTTGATATTATTTGCTGATTAATAGTAATTTGGATGGAACGTTCAATATTGAATTCTGGTTTGCTAATAAGCTTCGTTATCATAGTTTACTTTTTCTTTTTGTTAATGAGGACTTGCTTTCATATTAGTCTCATTTATTGTCAATTTTAATTTAATTTTTTTATAACTGAGAACTTCTACGTGGAATCTTTTGCTCAGTAATCATTGTCTCATTATCGTAGCAGTTTTGCAGTAAATCTTCTACCTACGAGATTAAAAGACGGAGTTTATTATGGCATAAACCGGTAAGCGAGCAGACGGATCACCTGATGGTAAGCAATCAGCGTCGCCCATGGAACACTAGAGGCGCTACAAGTGCGTTACCGGCCTTTTGGGGATTAGGTAAATTGGGGAAGGGAAGGGTAATTGGACCTCGGTAACCTCACTCACACGACGAAACACAACGCAAGCGTTGTTTCACGTCGGTTTTCTGTGAGGCCGTGGTATCACACCGGTCGAGCCGGCCCATTCGTGTCGAAGCATGGCTCTCCCACACTTAAAAGGAGGAGTAAGGTTTTTATACTTTGAAGCCATAAAAATACGTTGAGTTAAAGACAAACGCAATCTCGATATTTACTCCAATACTTCGTCATGGAAATAAAATTGATTTCTTCCACAATAAACACACCGTACGCACATAATGTTTTATTTTTATAGTCGAAATTAACATGTTACCGAATTTGAGAAAAAGAGAAGTATTACATTTTTTTTAAAGTCGTGTAATAAAGCATCGGAGCTGTAAAAGCCTCGATATTAACGATAGGCTATAAAAAAAATAAAGAAGCTCCGAGTCAGTGTATGGTTTATTACACAGATAGGCGCCGCTCTTTGGATTATGGTCCAAGTTGAAGGAGGTGTCGACAAAGACCCATTAGCAGACGCATCTTCATTTATCAACAATAATACATTTTGCAGCACAAAATAAATCTCTCAGCTAACTTTGATGCAGACAGGAACTGCCGCCACAGTTTGAATAGTTCCTAGTGTACGATAAACACGACTATAATAATGGCACGTCAAAGTTAGTTTGCACCGCCATTGTTAAAAGTCGAGTGTTAGTTCACTGTGCCACCTGACTCGTGCGTCGCGTCGTGTCACCAAAGTCACTTTCTACTCGTGTAAACTTATTGTTTGTTTTCGGGACACGTGTTCACTGTTCAACTCAAGTTACCACAAAGCTAGTATTGACAAAACTTTCAGTTTCACTTTGTGCCAATTTTATGACGAACTTTAATATACCTATGCCTTTGGACTGTCTCGTTGGTCGCGTGGTCGCTAGTGCGATTGCCGGGCAAGGGGTCCTGGGTTCGATTCCCGAGTCGGGCATAGTATTACTGGTTTTTTTTTAAGTATTACGGAGTCTGGAATTGTGCCCGGTATATGGCAGTAGGCTCACCCCCTATTACATGGGACTCACAACACAAATAGTGAAAAGCGGGTGTTACATTGTACAGTAGCATTAAGTGCCGTAATGTGCACCTTTGCCTACCCTTTCGGGCGTAAAAGGCGCGATGTTATGTTATGTGTTTCATATTGTATTATTTGATTATCGTACCACGACAATGTTACCTTTTTACAGTTGTATAATTCAACAGATTTGTGTTATGCGAAAAGTTTAACTTTTATTATACATTTTAAAAATACAAAATTTTAAACACACATTTTCTAAAACATTTTTCTTGAACACGTAGGTAGTTATGTATCTGAATTAAATTGAAATCTGAGTTAGCATTTTCGCAGTACTCCCCGACGATCCGATTTAGGAAGATTTACCTTTAACAGTTATCTGTCAACAGTGTAATACCTAATTAATTTCTCATTTAGTATAATTATTTACCT